AAAAATTCTAGAGATTGGTCACACAATAATGTGAATGTACTTAACACTACTGAACTTTACACTTTAAAATAGGAGCTAGGCATGGTGGCATCTGCCTGTTATCCCAGCATTCTGGGAGGCTGAGGCAGGAAGATTGCAAGTTTGAACCCAACCTGGTCAACTTAATAAGACCCTGTCTCATATTAATGAAAAAAGGGAATGGGGATATAGCTCAGTACACAGGCCCAGAGTTTAATCCTCAGTACCGCATGGGGGGGGGCATATATGGTTAAGACAGCCAGTTTTGTTATATATATATTTAGCTGAGGTTTCTTTGTTTTTGTTTTTGGTGCAGAGAACTAAGCCTAGGGCTTCCACCTTGCTAGGCAAGCATTCTAACACTGAGCTACATCCCAGCCCGAATTTTAAAAGAATAAAAAATTTTAAGTGCTTCTTCCAAACCAACCATGCATGTTGGTGAGCCTGGTGCATGGTCCTACACTACAGAGGAAGAGCACAGGAGGCCTGAGAGGAGGACCGTGGAGCCTGGCCATGCCCTCAGCCTCTGTCTCCCATCCCCAAGGACAGCTCCGCGGTCGCTGGTAGCACCCAACTCTGGCGACCTGGGGACCTCACAAATGCCTCTCTTCTAAGTACTGACCCACAGAACTACTCCTGAGTGTAATACAAGGCCCCAGCCCTGAGGACACCTGTGCCATACTGGAGATGTGACATTTGTTCCTAGAGGACAGTCTGCTTCGTCACCTAAATGTATATACATCCCTTGACCTGACTTTGCAGACTCTTACCTAAGGCAGTAACCAACTACTGTCTGATGATGTCCTTGCCTGTGCAGAGATGCTGGCTGCAACACAGCTCGTGAAGGAAAAATTGGAAGTACTTTTATTGTCTGTCATGGGGCCTGCTTTAATTATGTTTAGTAAATCCCAACCATGGAGCCATTAAAAAATGATGATGGAGACCATTACTTATTAATACAGAGCAATTGCTATCGCAGGTAGTGGAGGCAGGGGAAACAGGTTGGAGCAACTTTATCTTATTTTACAAACAATAAAACACATTGTGCACATGCCCAGAAAAGGGTTGCAGCGCTAGGCAGGGCTCCCTGTGTAACTGCAATGTAACACACAGCCTGTAGTTTCATCATTTTTCTTTGTTATTATTGCCCTAGTTTTGTACTGTGTATGCATATTTCTTAGGAAAAAAGACAAAGCCATTTCCCAGGTGGGGTCGGAGAAGCAGAGTGGCATTGTCCTAAGCCTACGCATGCTCCCTTTGCAGCGGTGCTCAATGCTGGCTTCAGGTGATCCCTTGCCCAGCCATATTGCAGGACAGAGCCCTGGCGCACAGGGGCTGGGCAGGCAGAGCTGCGTGGAAGTTCCTCAGGCCCTTGCCTGGGGGCGGGGTGGGGAGTGAGCCTCCTGCCAACCCTAAACTGGGATCAGACACCTACTCTCAGGAGCCCTGTGGAAGCCTCTTGGCTGGTTTTTTCCCTTGGTTCACCTTCCTTTGTCCCCTCTAGGTGTCCAATCTGTAAGACATTTGGCATGGCGGTCTTTCCTGAAGCCACCAGGGTGGCCTGGAGGCCAACAGGGTGCTAGCTTTAGGCAAGTTGTTGAACTTGTTACAGCCTCCATTTTCCCATCTGGAAAGTAGGGATAATACCAACCTTTCCTCAAAGAACTGTCACCACTCAGTGCTTCTGAGAAGCAGAGAGGAGACTTTTCATCTTCGTACTTTGTGGAGTTTCCACTGTGTGCTTGCATGTGAAAGGCGATTGAGTCAGAGTCACGGGCCCGAGAGCTGCCTTGGTGTTGGGAGGTGGGGAGAGGCCCTGGGCCGTGACCTGCGAGGCTGCATTCCGCTGTTCCTCTGCCTGCAGGCTGCCGTGCCCTGAGCCTCTTTCTTTCCTCCGAGGCAGGGCTTCCACTGTGGCATTTCTGTGCATGAGCCGCAGCCATGCCCTGAAACCTCTAGATGACATGAGCCAAAATAGACCAAGTGTCGGCTGTTGGGTGTCTCTGACAAGGAAAGTGACTAAGCCATTGCATTACTGTCTCAGTTCATTTTCCATCAAAGCAAGTACCTGAGAGAAGTCATCAATAAAGGGCAGGATTTTACTCAGCTCACAGGCAGTGAACCTCTAGGAGCGTGGCGCCGACACCAGCAAGAGCCTTCTTACTATACAGTAAGGAGGCCAAAGGTGTTACATGCTCACCCAGTCTCCCTCCTCTTCTAAAGCCACTAGTGCCACCACTGGGCCCCACGCTTATGGTCTCCAAATCCCAATAACATATGAATCAGGGACTAAGTTTCAACATGAGTTTTGGTGCCGGTGCCAGTTCAAATAAATAAAGGCAGTTGTAGGAGGCCTTCCAGGGGACTCATGTAGCATTCATCCACCAGTCTGTGCTGTTTGAGAACTGTGCAGAACCAGACCCATCTGCACACGGTTGCTGGAAGGGAGCAGGGATTGATCTGTGCCAAAGGCATGGTCTGGACTTGGTAACCCCAAGCCTGGCACTCTGGAGCCTAGAGGTGATCACTGTGTACTTGGGGAAACAGATGCGTGTCATTCAGTTAGTGCTGAATTTTTACAGACTTACTAGTAGGATTGAACCTCTTCAGCAGAGACTAAAAAGACTGAAAAACTAGTCAGACAGATTTCAAGTAGGGGCATGGAATGTACTGCACACAGGAGCAAGTTAAAGGCTCTGAGAAGTTCTGCATTCACATCTTGCTTTGACCTTATCAGGAATCGATATGTCTCTCTCTCTGTCTCTCTCATGTAGCCTGGCTCTTCTTAACATCCTACAGTGTGACCGCAAAGACATTTGGAAAATGAAAGTACTGCGTTAGAGGGAATCAGGCTGACTCTGGTCTTCTGCTTGTAGATGCTTCCTTTCAAGTAGAGGATTTGGCCCCTTGGTGATAAAGCGGTCCTGTTCGTCCAATGGGAGAACAGTAACTGTAGTGGTCAGAAGCATCGTCTGTGCATGACACATTCTGGACAGATTTCACTCATTTGTGGGTCCGACCAGGACCAGGCAGGCTGACGCGTGCAAATCACACAGCTGAAAGTGACAGACCCAGGGTTCCAAGTGTGAAGCCTGCTCAGAGCTGCCAAGGCCTGCTGTTCTCTGGCAGGGTGACCTCAGTCCTTCCCACGCTCACAGCCCACCTTCCTCGAGGCCCTGAATGTATTTCCTTCATGGGGAAAGAGATTACCGAGCACTCGGTGTTTTCTGAAGTAGGCATTAAGAGTTTAGGAGCCTTATCTTGGCTGTTGCTCTGAATTCTAATCTGAGGCTCTCTGAGCTTTAGGTTTTTTCTGTGCCTGCTGCAGAAGCCACCAAAGCAGTGTCCAAATACAGTGATGCAGCCCAGCCTGCGGTTCCTTAAGCCTCTTGCCACTCGGCCAAAGCCTTGAGGGGAAGGAGAGATGGGGGAGAAAGGCAGGTGGCATTTATCACTCACTCATTTCCTAGGTGCTGGGTGCCGTGCTGAGTACTCTCCAAGAGCACTCAGCAGCCCTCTTTTTTATATTATTATTATGCAGTTAAATAACAAAATAATAGGGAAAAGGAGCTATTAGGGAGTTAACACCTCTCTTCTACTCTCCTCTCCTTCCTTCCTCCCTTCCCCTCCCCACAGCCCTCTTGAGCTTGTTATCACACTTTACCAATGAAGAAACACAGGCTCAGAGAGGTTAAGTAACTTACCCAAAAGTCTCAGAGCCACTATGTGGAGAAGCAGCAGGGGTGGAGCCCAAGTGACCCTGCCAAGGCTAATGGGGGTACAGAGGGGCCCCTGAGTCTAAGAGTCTGCACCCCCCCAGACTCAGGGCGTGGGGATGGATACAGTGAGGACATGCAGCCTCTCACAGGCACAGCTGCCAGAGACTCCACAGAGCCTCGCACTCTTGGGCTTCCAGGCACCAGAGGGCCCCTGCAGGGCCTGGGATACCGGGAGGGATGGTGCACATGGCCATGTCCAGGGCTCCGTGACTCGGGACAGAGGGTAGGAGCAGTTTCTACGTGCATTTATTTCCCCCCAGGCATGCTTCCTCTCTGAGATCCCCTCTGTAAGGGAAGAATGGGAGAAGGCGAGGTCATCCTTCACATACTCATGATGGGGATTTAGTTCATGTTTCACTGCCAAGTGGCCCTGATGTGAACTGACTGTCCCATCAGGAGGCTTGTACTGCTTCTCAGGGGGTCTTTGATTACACTAATGCAAACGAAGGTGATAATTTAGTTAATGAACAGATGTTATATATTACAGTTCTTTCTTTTCATATTACAGTTCTTTAAGGAAAACATTAAGATAGTATTACAAAAAACTGTAATGCAAGCCAGGTGTGGTGGTGCATGCCTATAATCCCAGCACTTGGGAAGTTGAGGCAGGAGGATCACTGTGAGTTTGAGACCAGCCTGGATTACATACTGAGTTCAAGGCCAGCCTGACTGCATAATAAGACCCTGTTTCAAAAAAAAAATTTTTTTTGAAAGAAAGAAAATTTAAAGAAATTCACGAATGTAAATAAATTTATTTTAATGAAATAAATTTGTTGATTATTATAATTGTTTCTCTTTTTTGTTACCAGGGATCCAACTCAGAACCTTGCGCTTGCCAGGAAAGCACTTATGCCTCTGAGCTACATCCCTAGCCCCTATAATAAATTTTAATTGCTATAAATAGTATTAATTAATATTTATATTTGGGCAGTAATTCTAATTAAAGCAACTAACTAGATTTGGTCTATTTATGGACCTTTTTTAAGTTAGTAAAAAGACTGATAAAAGTGGTTAGACCTCCAGGTAGAGGATAACCCCGGCCCTTCAGCCAGGCAGGACAGAAGCGGAATTCGCCTTCACAGGCCTGTTGTTCTCTGCGCCTCCCATTCCTGCTGGAAGAACAGGCTGGCAACAGCAGGGAGCTCTGGGCTTGGGCTGCTCTGTCCTGCATTTGCTCTCAGCACACGTCTCTTCCCTCCCCAGGTCTGGAAGAGGTCAGGGGCCTGGTTCTACAAAGGGCTGCCAAAGTATATCTTGCCCCCGAAGAGCCCGGGCTGGGAAGATGACCCCCGCTTCCAGCCTTTCTCTGTGGAGCCAGCAAACCCAGAACCCAGAAGCACTGAGACCAGCCGGGTCTACACGTGGGCTCGAGGGAGAGGTAAGACCTGTGGTCCCCACACCAGGATGGCCCCGAAAATGGCTTATCTCACATGGACTTGAGCCAGGCCCCACCCCCTGGGCATACATCACACTTTACCCCTCCCCTTGCCCTGCACTAGGGCCTGCTCCTGAGCACAGAGCAGCTTGCCTTCTGGCCTAGTGGCTACTCGCTTTATACAGAGATGTGGGGAGAAGGTCCCTTGGGGCAGTGTCCCAAAGAAGCACTAATTTGGGAGCAGGCCCACCATAAGCAGCATTATCATAGCTCTTTGAAGGCGCAGATTGTCAACATAGGAGTTTTGTGAGGTACATGCAAAGATGTTCAAAAACTCCTTAGAAGCAGTTGCCTGCTCTCTTTTCTTGGGGCCACCTCCCCAGATAGTCCTTCATCCAGTTGAGCCCCTCACTCCTCTGGTTCTGGTCTCACTTAGGACTTTCAGACACAGAATCCTCGGCACTTCAGGGCAGAGGGTACCAGACCCAGGATGGCAAGGGCCTTTCCCAGACAGGCCTCTGCTGCCTCTTCCCTGTGCTAATCTTGTGTCTTAGGAGGGCAGGACTCCTGGCTGCCCTGTCCTAATGAGTGGGCTGATGTGGTGTCCAGTGTCCGTGGGATCTGTAGTGGCTACACAGAGGTGGGTATGCTGCTTGTGATGGTGCTCAGTGCTGCAGAGCGCCCTCCAGAGCTCCCAGGATGCATCCTTACTTGATCTCATGGCAGCCTCAAGAGGTAGGTGAGGTGGAATCTGACAGATCCATTGTACAGATGAGGAGCCTGAGGCCCAGGGAACAGGAGGGCGGTTTGTGACACAGGGCTCTGGGTCTGAGGGTCCTGAGACCAGAACCAGAGGGGTGATGGGCTCAACCTGATGAAGGCCTATCTGGGGGAGGTGGCCCCAAGGTAAAAGACCAGGCAACTGCTTCTAAGGAACTTTTGAATATCTTTGTAGGACAACCTGATATCCGGCTGTCTTTATATCATTTGCATTAATCTTTTTTAGTATAAGAAATTGCATGCTTATAACAAAAAATGTAGAGATTGTCAAACAGGACCCTCTAGAAGGCAAAACTTTGTAGTCAACCCTTCTAGACAAAATTGCTGTCACTGTCTTTCCTTCAGGTATCTTTTTCTTCTGCCTCACTTGGCCCTCATTACAGCAGTCTTGCCTCCTGGTTCTGCCTGCCAGCCCTGGGGAAGTGGCTATCTTCCATCCTGTCCCTTTTCCACCCACAGAGCTGGGACTTTCTCCTGCCCAAGTCCTATCAGGGAAGATCCCTTTCCCTAAGATTGAGGGAGGAGGTGTGGCCACAGAAACACGAGCTTGGGGACACCAGTGGGTTCAGTGTTGCTGTGATCAGGTTGAGAGGAGAGGCCCTGAGGGCCTTGTGAGCAGTGTGATCTAAGCACCCCCTTTGGGGGGCCATCGCTGCCCCATCTGCTCCACATCAGCACACGTGCACACGGTCACACACAGATACACACAGACACACACACACATGCGTTCACTTGCAACCCATACACAGGCCCTGGCTAGGAGCAGCGCCCTGCCTCCTCTCCAGCCACAAAAACACAGATGGTCTTTTAATTACATGGTTGAGAAGGCCGTGGCCCCACGCATTCCCACTCTGTTCATTAACTGAGCCTGCACTATGGAGGCTCCTATGTGTGACCTTGTTCACCACAGGAGGTGCTGGGTCATAGACACACCCACTGCATGCCACCCAGCCTGTGATGCCCCAGGATACCTGATGTGCTCAGCCCATGAGCAGCAGGACTGGCAGGGCTGGTAGCTGAGAGGACATCTGTACCTACAGTGAGAGGGAAGCCCTGGGAAGAGGGTGCCATGGGGGGGGGTGGAAAGACTGAACCTGGGGGGGGGTAGAAAAGAGCAGTTGGCAGCGGTGGGAGGGGGCCCTGAGGGGCGGGGCCTGAGGTGGTAGAGGCAGAGGAGGTGGAGCAGGAGGGGGTGAGGGGAGACAGGAGGACAGCAGAGGACAGCTGTCATCCCAAGAAGCACCAGTTTCAGGTTGGCAAGCAATGCGACCCTTTTGAGTTGCTTCCAGGCCTGTTCCTAGGTTAGGGTTAGGGTCAAGTTGAGGCATCACTGGGCCTGTCCAGTTGGGGTGCCTTTTGGTGACTTCCCAGACCTGAGAGTGGCTTCCCTTTCTCCAACCCCAGCAGGCCTCAGTGCTCCAGCTTTGACCCCGCCCTGCCAGTGTGACATTCAGCCTGCAATGAGGGGCAGCTCCCGCCATCAGGGAAATGCCTCGTGGCCCATGGTTTCTTAGCACCCAGACCTGTGTGCTCCAGAAGCCATAGGAGGAGGCCGCAGAGGGCTTTCCATTGGGTCCTGCAGATCCTTGGAGACTTACACTTGCTCCAGGCGTCTGGGAGCCTTGGGGCCAGCATCCTCCTCTGGCCTCCAACTGCATCTAATAGAGCTAATCCCCGTCCCCAGCTCGCTCGCTGGCTCTCAGACTATCTCTGCCCTCTTCCCCTTCCTCCATCTCTCGGGGGCTCAGGCATCTACAGCTCCCAAGTCCTCCCTACATCCGGGCCCCACCCATTTTGTTGGAAGAGGAAGGATGATCAATAGATAAAAGCCATGAACTTTTCTATCTGCAGAGCAATCGAATGACCATATTGACGTTTCTGAAGTGTGTTCTTTTTCTTCCTCCTTTCAGTTTTGTTAATTTTTAATTATACAGAAACACAAATAATTTTACAGTGTTTGAAAAATAATCTCACTGGGCAAGGTAGTGTGTAATCCCAACATTTGGCTGAAGCAAGATCACTGTGAATTTGAGGTCACCTAGGGCCACATAGTGAGTTCAAGACCAGCCTGAACTGCATAGTGAGACCCTGTCTTTATACGTATAATCCTGGGCCTGAAGCTTTTCTCTCTATGGAATAGGTTTCCACCTGTGGAACTGTATGTTTTAAATTCCAATAGCCATTGCCATACTGTATTTCAAAACAATGTTCTAGTCATCCACACTCACCCCAGTGTGACTACTCATTTTCCTGTATCTCATTTTCCACCCTTGCGATGTGTGGATTTTAAAGTTTATAACTGTGACCAAGATGCAGGATGAAAAATAGTACCATGTTTCATTGTTTTAATTGCATGTTCTGACTTCTAGACTGGACATGTAGAGGTAGAGCACTTACCTAGCATCTGTGAAGCCCTGGGTTTAACCCCTAGCACCGGAAAAAATGTTTATTATTTATTAATTACTTAGATTTCCTCTTTAAAAGGTTGTCTGTTCAAATCCACTGCTCCTTTCTTAAGTTGCTTGGTTTATCTTTATTTGTAGGTGCTTCCTATGTCACAGATATTAAATGGTATGAAGTGGTTTTTCCTCCTCTTTTAGCTTTATACTAAGGCTTGACCGTAGTCTTTGTTATGGTATCATCTGTGTGTGTGTGAAATATGTCCTTTTTTGCTTTGTAGTTTTTAGATTTCTTGTCTTGCTTTGAAATGTCTTTTCCTACTCTGAGATTTCAAAAACAATCTGCTAAATAAAAGGCTCAAATAATATGAGGAAATTATGCGTACATGATAAAATTATCGACAGAAAATAGCAAAAACAATCTGGGCATGGGGGCACATATCTATAATCGCAGCTCTTGAGAGGCTGAGACAGGAGGATGGTCTTGAGTTCAAGATCAGCCTAAGCTACACAGCGAGACTTTGTCTTACAAAAGAAGAAAATTAACTAAAAAGCACTCAATTCATGTTCAAAATATGAGCCAGTACTGCATCATCACTGGCATTCAGTAGTATTTTGTAGCCCCCCCCCCACCTTGTTTGATGCTAGGGATAGAACCCAGGGCCTTGCACATGACAGAAACATGCTCTATCACTGGTGTGTACTGCCAGTGCTTAAACAATATAATTTTATGTTTTGTTTAGTTTTGCAATACTGGGAGTTAAACCCAGGGCCTTCACCTTCTACTCTTTAATTATTTGTGGGTTTTTTTTGTTTTTTTGTTTTTTTTTTTGAGTCAGTGTCTCACTAAGTTGCCCAGACTGGACTCAAACTTGCAATCTCATGTAGCCTCAGCCTCCCATGTGTAGGGATTACAGGCATTTGCCAGCACACATGGCTTATAACCTTTAATAGTGTAATAGCCCAAGGAAAAAAAGTCATCTGTTAATATTAGAAAAGAAGAAAAGTCATTTTCTTATTTGCAGACGATGTAATTATTATATACCAAGAAAACTATACTAAAACAACACATTAGGATTAATAAGAAAAATTGGACCTTGACAGGATATAAGATAAACTTAGAGAAAAATCAGTAGCTCTAATCTGTACTGCTTACCCAAAAGTAGGAATGGGAGAGCCCATTTGGAATTGTAAAACTAAAAATTATTAAATACGTAGAAACAGCTTTTTAGACAAGGTCTTATTGTGTTGCTCAGGCAGGTCTCCACCTCCTAAACTCAGTGGATGCTCCTGTGTCAGCCTCCCAAGTACTGGGATTATAGGAATATAACATTAGACCCAGCTTTAGAAACAATATTTAAAAGAAACTTATAGGACCAACATAAAGAAAATTATAGTCTTGCTGAAGTAGTCTCTGTGGGCTGCTGTTACAAAATCCCAGAGACTGAGTGGCTTAAACAATAAAAATTTATTTCCTGACAGTACTAGAGGCTAGAAGGCCAAGATCAAGGTGGCAGCAAGGTTGCTGTCTGGTGAGAGCTTTCCTGAAAATCAGGCCCCACCTTGTAACCTGCTGTAGTCTTAGTTCCTTCCAGAGAAATCCTGTCTCTGAATACAAATTCAAACATTCATTCCACAACACTTTTCAGAGGACCAAAATGAAGCCCTAAACAGAGAGATAGATAAAGAGAATCCCTATTTTTTTTTAATAGCTTTTTTTTTTGTGTGTGTGTGTGTGTGTGTGTGGAACCAGGGATTGAACTCAGACCCTTGCGCTTGCCAGGGAAGCACTTAATCCACTGATCCATCTCCCTGGCCCAGATA